TATTGCTTACCATTCGTTCCATGGTTTTACAGACACAACTCGTTAAAGAGATTGGTCTATAATTGTATGATCCCGTCCAGGTTTTGGAATGGGGACTACAATGGCATTACGCCATGAAGTTAGGAAATTCCCTGAAGTCCATATTGAATCAAAAATATTTAGAAGTGTTCCCAAACATGATTCAGGTAAATGCTTCAAGAGCTGATAGTGAATATTATCAGCTCCTGTTGCTGTATCATGAGCTTGCTCAAGGGCAGTGTGGAGTTCATGTATTCTCTTTTTCTCTTGTTGTGTCTGATATTTTCGAAATTCTGGTACGCAATTTGACGAAGAAGAATGTTTGGCGAGAGTTTCACCAAGCTTATTGGCAATGTCAGACTTATCAGTTAATAAATTATCACCATCCTTCAGATGGTGGACAGTAGATTTGGAACCTTTGCCCTTTATGCGTTGAATCATGTTCCACAACTTCGAAATTGGTGTGCGTGAATTTAACTTGGAAACATAATTTCGCCAAGACTGACGCTTATTCTGTTTAAAGGCACGTCGAGCTTTGGCACTATTTATTTTGACATTATTTAAATTGTGAACTGTAGGATACCGGCGAAAGTATTTCTCTGCCTTCTTCCTACACTGTCTGGCCTGTTTGTAATCATCAGTAAACCATGGTTTACGAATGTGTGGTGTCGCAGAGGACTTAGGAATAGTTTCATCTGCTATTTGATTCAGTTTATCCGAGAACAACTGAATAGGATCTAGAGCATCGACAAAAAAGTCAGATTTCAGTTCGTCAGTACAAAGTGTCTGATAAAATGACCAGTTAGCCTTATTAAACTTTCCCCTTGTTGGATTTATAGCTGAAAGTATTGTGGGGAAATGGTCACTTCCACACAGGTCATCATGAACTGACCATTCAAATTCGTTATAAATATTTGGGTCTGTTAGTGATAGATCTAGTGCAGAATATGTTCCTGTACCAGGGTGTAAATACGTGGCTGATCCATCATTAAATATGCACAGATCATTATTAGAAATGAAGTCTTCGAGGATTTTCCCTTTAATGTTAGTATCAGTACTTCCTCACAAAGGGTTATGACCGTTAAGATCACCCATGATAATACATGGCTTGGGAAGCTGGTTGAATAGATCCTGAAGATCAGACTGCTGAAGAGCTGAAGATGGAGAATGTACAATGAACAAAGGGTGAAGGTTATTTGTAACGAAAGACGGACAGCAACCGCCAGAAGAGGCCTTTTTAAGAGGGACGGGGCTATGAATCACACCCTGCCTCACCAAAATAGAAGCGCCGCCGGTGGTTTTATTACCTGGAGGTGAAAACGAATGGAATGAATTGTACTGACGAAATTCAAATTTGTCTGTATTTTTCAGGTATGTCTCTTGTAAACTAAACACAGATGGTTTATAATCCTGCGATAATAATTGTAGATCCTGAAAATTGTTCCTAAGACCCCTGCAATTCCATTAGATTAAGTTCATAAAAATAATGCTCATAATGCTTATGGTGGTTTGACTAGAGATCGAGAATGCAAGGAGTCATCACTCCTACACGTTGTGTGTGAAGAAGCAATCTCCATGTCAAGTGGTTCAAACGAATTTTGAAACACCACAGGAGGGCTCAAAGAAAGAGATTCTTCCTAATGCTGAAGTGCTCTGTTCTTTCTCCTTAACTTATTTTGTTCTTTTCTTGAAAGTTGGGTAACACTCTGTGTTGCCTGGGTTGAATTTATATTTTCTGGTTGCGTTTCGTCAGTCTGGGAGGCTGATGAACGTTGACAATCGTTTGATGTCAGATCAATGTCATTCAAGGTTATTTGATCATCATTCACCCAAGATATAACGGTTTGGCATGCAGTTGAAATTGGTTGAGATTTATAAACAGGTGTCGGTGGAGGAGAAGAAACTATGGCTGAGTATGTTGGTCCTGTAGAAGGTTTAGACTGTACATTTACTACTTTCTTTGATTCAAAGTATGATATGCTGTTAGTACATTTGATTGTGAGAACTTTGGCCTCATATTCAAACTTTGGGGAAGATTTGGAGGATGCCAGATGATTACCACCACAGTTAGCGCATTGTATGGTATCACTGCAGTCAGTACTCTCGTGACTTCCACTGCAGCGAGAGCATACAGATTTGCCTGTGCAAGACCTTGCACCATGTCCAAATTTTTGGCACTTATAACACCGGAATGGATTTTGTATATATACCTCCATTCCGATGTTACAGTATCCGGCCTTAATGGATTTCGGAAGCTGTGTCATACCAAACGTGAAAAGGTATGTATTTGTTTTCACAATGTTTGAGTCTTGTTTCCTGGTAAAACGCTTCACAGTAGTACCGCCTTGGACTTTAACTCTGACACAATCTCGTCTTCATCCATGTCTGATAAACAACGGGACCTGTCTCTCACAATACCTCTGCAAGTGTTAAATGTCTTATGCACTGAGACAACAACCTGCTTGTTTACAAACTGCTGTAATCCCAGCAGATTGACAGATTGCTGCCTCCCTACACATTCTACCAAAAGTGAACCATTTCGGAGGCGGGTGACATTCATTACCTCTGCGCAGACACCTCGGATGCCCTTGGAGACGGCAAAAGGATTGATATTTAACGGACTCCCATCATCAGTTGCAATAACCAAAAATCTTGGCCAGGATTCTGTCAATAAAGGGGATACCTCCTCATCAGATGAAGAAGAAAGATGTCTCCGTTTTTTTGTTTTAGACGAACCAGAATGCGTGTTTTGAGCCATAGTAAAATAATAATGTTCGGCGACCCTACGCCCCCCCCCCCCTCCTCCATCGAGTGTCAACAAGGACGATGTTGCAGTGGAAACCAGAGTGTAACACCAGGGCTACAGGGAGGCTATACTCGAGAAATACAGACATGAATAGCTCAGGAATCTATAAGATTAAAGGTCAGGCTGGTTCGGCCCATTTCATTAATCTCAAGAAACTCAGAATTCATATATCCATATCACCAGATTGTCCCATGAGCCACAGCCTTCTGGCACAGGACTCTAGGCAATGCAATTTCATCAAACATATGAACATTCAAAGTCAAAATGGTCTGAATTGTTCACAACATTAAATACTGAAAACAGTTTCCATGCTCAGGGCACGGCGTGACCAGCCGATTGATAGAACCGGGCCAGTTCTACCATCCGTCTAGGTGAAGTAAGGGGCGAAGTGGTGTGTTGGGCAAACGGAACACGGTTCCAGGCTCCCAGTGCCCTCAACCACCAGACTCCCGTCCTCCACCGACACAGGGGGCGCAACCCACGGCTAACAGGTTGGTGGACCAAATATACCCCTGGGCCCACACGGGGGGGTTGAAGAGCTCTTAGCGTTACCCAGCACCCACCACGAGGAGGTGGCTCTTCACGGGTGCCGTATTGTGGATAAAAGATGCTCGCCATCTAAAGAAAAGTGATCCACAAGAGATAGCATCGTTTGTTGACAAGTATGTGAAATGCTGCTTACCATCACAGGATGATGCACCTTTACTGCATGAACTTGTCTCTCACTTACAAAGGCATGCACATTCTGCAACGTGTCAGAAAGGATCCAAGAACTGTAGATTCAATTATCCATGGCTTATTTCTGCATCAACATTTCTGGCAACACCACCTGAGGATGAAAGTATTTCACCAGAAATAAAAGCTGCTCTTCCAAAGTCATCTAGTGAAGTATTGTCAAGAGTGAAGAAGACATTGGCAGAAGCACCAGACATCTTAGCCTGGAAGAGGTGCTTACAAAGTCATCTACTAATACAGATGAATATCAGCAGGCTCTTTTTACCTCTGTCAACACAACAACTGTCTTTCTAATACGGCAGCCGTCTGAAACATGCATCAACAATTATAACCCAGACATTCTTAAAGCCTGGCAGGCAAATATGGACATACAGTTTGTGGCCAATCCATAGTCATGTATTCAGTAGGTGGTCTCTTATATAACCAAGGACGAACGTGAAATGGGAAATCTTCTTCAGGCAGTCAGTAAGGAAGCATCAAGTCAAGGTATAAAGCAACAGATGAAGAAGTATGGCCAAGCTTTCCTTAATGCACGGTCAATTAGTGCTCAAGAAGCAACCTACAGAGTCCTAGGATTGCCTTTGTATAAGTCAGATTTTCAGACACATGAAATGTTCTGGAAGAAGAATGTGAAGATATATTCACCAGTTCTCTCACTTACAAGTACCCTCAGAGACCTGCTGCATTAGACTCATGGTGCTTAGCACTGCTTCCTTCCTGGTACAAGTCAGTTTCAAGATTTGACAACAAACCAGGCATTCAACCTGATATCCTAGAAGATGGTACAAGCATGGACACAGCTGCATGACAGAGTGATGTGACAAGCAACCTTGAGTTACTTGTCAAATGTGCTCCCGAAACGTTCACAGTTCAGTTGCATTCTTCTACCCAACACATGAAGAAAAGACAAAAGAAAGCCATGATCAGGTTTCACAGGTTTAGTGTAACACACTACCCTGAATCTTACTATCATTCAGAACTCTTCTTGTTCAAACCATGGAGAAAGGAAGAAAGTCTTCTTCAGTTGCAACAGTCCTATGCTGACAGTTATCACATGTCTCTTGAGGAAATCAAAGCAAACAAGACTCACATACAAGAATAATCCGAACTTATTGATGCATCAGTAGAAGGCTTCCTTGAAAATGGTATACCTACAATTGCTGATCTGCTGAACCATGAATTACAACAAGCAAATGATGATATGATTGCTGAAGGCACTGAACCAGACCTAGAGCATGCTCAAATAGATCCAGACTCACTGTCCTTAAAAGAGGAACACAACTCCCACTCGCTGAAGTTAACACACCCCATTTTGTGTCTTACGAATCCCTTCCAACAATGTGGTCTGATGATGACTATCGCCAACATGCGCAGTCACTGAAAGAAGAACAACGTAAGATGTTTCAGATTGTTCTCAATTGGTGTACATCTGTCAGTATACAGAAACTGTCAGGAAGTTTACCAGAGCCCATACACTTGTTTGTGACTGGAGGAGCAGGGACTGGAAAGTCGCATCTGATCAAGGCAATCTATCAAGTCAAAGTCAAAGATGTTTATTGTAAAAAAGGCCCCCGGCCCATATACATTGGAGTTATACATATACATTATACATATGGTGCAATAAGTAGTAATTAGTGGTCCAAACAGCAAATCATGATACAGGCAGTAAATTATGTACAAGCAGTGCAATACGATGGACCTACAACACTTTTTATCAGATTGTTACGTTTAATAAGAGCATAATTGATATAGTACGACAGCTTTATTATTACATGCTGGTCAGTTGATGAAAGAAGTAGTTTAAATGCTAATGTAGGTGGCTTACGTAGATAATATTCAGCTATATGTTTCGTACGCAAATCTTTATACAAAGGACATACAAGTAAAAAAATGGATTTCATTTTCCACATCTATATTACACAGTGGGCACATTCTCTTGCATCGTTCAATATAAAAACGTCTTCCTTCGTTTACCATTATGTTCAACCTAACCTAAATCGTATAAATGGATATCTTAATTTCTTTGATGTTAAAAACAACAGATATTTCTCCGGCTGGAGTAGTGATTTGTATATTCTATAAGAGTCGTACCGTGAACGATTATGTATTACTGAATGCCATTCTTGATTAAACATATTAAGACTTCTTTCTCGAAACTGAGTTAAAAACAAACTTCCATCACCAATTGACTGACTTAACCATACAAAACCATAACCATGTGAAAACAGAAGATTTCTTACATAAGATGCCCACGTCACTTTACCAATGTTGTCCAAATGAACAAGCATGTTATAAGCCTTTTTGGGTAATCTATGTTCTTGCATACACAATATCTTAAACCAGAATTTTATAAATCGAATATGAGCATTTATATACAGGGGATACCTCCCACATTCACCGTACACCATACAATTCGGTGTAGAGGGTCCTTCATTTAAAAATTTCTTACAGGCCATCAGATGTATTTTGTCTATGCATTCATATCTCTGGAATCCCCAAATCTCGGATACATACAAAAGAATAGGCTGAATTTGACAATCAAATAGTTTAAAGTAAATACTGGGCGTCAAAACACCAATTTTACACAAGGCAGATAAAAGACTTATCAATGCTTTCTTAGCTTTCAATGATAATTCAGTAACAGATGTTTTCCAGTTCATAGCAGATATAAACTTAATCCCAAGATAAGTGTAATGATCAGAGACAATTACAGGTTGGTCATTTTAGTATACCGTTCCAAAATATTTAACTGGGTTTGTAGTCCAACTACAGATTCTGATAAAAGAATTACGTCATCAGCAAATAAAATAATAAAAAGTTCTAAGAGATCTGGAAATATTTGGATGCCATGCTTACCATTTGCGATAATATCGTAGTACAATTCGTTGATAAACAGGGAAAATAGAATTGGACTCACAACACATCTTTGTCTTAAGCTAACGGGGCAGTCGAAAATATCAGTCTTATCATCACCACAACGTACACAAGCTATCACATTCGTATACAATGCTTTTAAAATTGAATACATTCTACCTTTCAGGCCAGCATGACTTAAAGAATACCACAATTTAGAACGATTGACAAATGTTTTACGGAAATCAACGAAAGCTACATATAATTTACGCTTACGACGGGATAGACATTTCTGGGCTAGTGCATATAGTGTAAAGATATGATCAGAAGTTGAATATTTCTTTCTAAAGCCTGCTTGTGATTCGGGAATTTTATCTGTCATACTTGCCCATTTAGTGAGTCTGTTATTTAGAACAGATGTAAAGACTTTACCTAAAATACTCATAGGGGAAATTCCTCTATAATTATCTGGATTTGTGACATCACCTTTCTTATGTAAGGGAACAATAATTGATCGCGCCCAACAACGGGGGAAAATACCATTTTCAAACAATTTATTAAAACACTTATTCAAAAAGGGCATGATAACAAACTCTGAAATTTTAAGCATTTCCACCACGACGAGGTCAAGACGAGCTGATTTTCCATTTTTCAAATGCAATAACGCTTCTGATATTTCATTAGCTGTTATGGGTGAGTCTAATACAAGTGATTCGACGTCTGACATATCTGCAGTTGAAATATCTGGTGTTGCATCATCCTGCAAAGGACAATCATCAAAAGAATCATTAAAAACAAAATCATTACGAAATACATTTTTAAAATGATTTAACCATTCCGCTTTCGGAATTACATTTTTTCGTGTGTTGGTCGACTTTTTAAATATCTGATTTGTTTCCAAAATGAGGTCGGGCTTTTTGTTGCCTGTTTCTGTATATATTTCGTTCTTTACAATATAGTTTTCTATTGATATCGTTACGTTACGTCTAAATGTCTTTAGAGATTTTCGTGCAAACCGTCGTGCAGCCTTACACTCAGCATTTAACGGTGGATTGTTTCGCGGCGGTGCGATCGATACACGTATCTTCATACAGCTTGCAGAATCTAAAATCATACTTACAAAATCTTCAATAGCATCTTCTATATTACTATCAAGTTTATTAAACACCGACTGAAAACCAGCTGCGGATATCTCTTGAAGGTTTCCTAAAAATGTCTTACATAAAGACTCATTCCACACAATTTTTTCATTAGAGGAGATATCCGCTGTTGATTTACCTTTAATCATGTTCATTTTAGGAAATCGGCATTTGAGCTTTAAAGGCAGATGATCGGAATCCAATCGATCACCTATATTCAACATACTCAGGGGAACAGATGAAATAATCATTAACACTACAGCCATGCTGTCCGACAAAAGTATATTCACCTTCATCTCCAAACACTCTACCATTGACAATAAATAAATGAAATGCATAACACATGTCTATCCAAATTTGGGTGGCGCGATCACCCACTGGCGTGATCACACAGGTACTCATGACACAGATCACCCTACTGAAGGAAGGGGATGACCCATCAGCTGTGAAGACAAGGGAAAAACAATTCCTCATTTAATAGACTTTCAGATGAAAAGAAGAACACGCTAAGGTGTAAATTAGCTCATCTAAAGATTATCATCATTGATGAAATTTATATGGTTGGCAGTGACCTGTTTCTGCAGCTTCACAGACGACTGAGTGAACTATTTCACAGTCCACATGATTTTGGAGGATTGACAGTGATTGTATTTGGTGACCTGTACCAATTGTCCCCTGATGCACAAAGGGTGATCTTTCAACCACCATCTGATGATTATGCACGACTTTCTGGAAATTTGTGGGATCAGTTTGTCTTTTATCCTTTGACACAGATGATGAGACAAAAGTAAGATCTCATATTTGCAGAGCTATTGAACAGAATAAGAAATGGTACCTTTACTGAGCAAGACATTGATATTCTAAAGACCAGATGTGTTCATCCACCTTTGATGTCATTTGAATATCCACTACACATTTTTGCAACAAATTATGAAGTTGATGAACATAACGGGGTTATGCTAATCAGACTTGGTGCAAATATTGTAGACATACTTGCCAAAGACAGCGTACCAGAAGCACTTCGGAAGTTTCCTATTAAAAAAAATGAGTTCACTGGAGGTTTGCCCAAGATTATTAGATTGGCAGTTGGAGCCAGGATCATTCTGACGAGAAATTTGGATGCATCTGATGGCTTAGTCAATGGTTCACAAGGGACAGTGGTTGATTTCATGTACCAGCAACAGAACAAAAGTGTGCCAGTGGTTGTTCTTGTTCACTTTGATAGCCCCAATACAGGTGTGAATGCTCGTTTGAAAACAACTCTCAACCTTTCCAATTATGAGGAATCAGTTGTACCAATCCAGCCAATTGAGACAAAATTTTCACTTACAAGGTCCAAACCTAATCTGCATGTTATCAGACAACAGTTTCCACTACGCTTGTGTTGGGCTTGTACAGTGCACAAGATTCAGGGACAAACTTTGGAGGAAGTTGTTTCATTTGAAAAGAAATATGGATATGGTCAAGCCTATGTAGCTCTCAGTCGGGCAAAGACTTTGTCTGGAATGAAACTTCTTCACTTCAGCAAGGATAGAATTAAGACCTCCTCTGTTGTCACAAAGTAAATGATGAGACTGGAAGCAAGTGCCCTTGTACAGAACCCTTTTCCAACAGTTGAATCTGGTACATCCAACACTCCCCAAATTACCATGCTAAATGCTAGATCTGCCAAACTACAGTTTTTGGACATACAGAATGATCGAGTGATTTCAGCAGGAGAAATCATTTGCCTTTCTGAGACCCATTTCTATGCAAATCAGATGCACAATTATCATCGTTCTGGATACCAAACATATCATGTACCAGCAAGACATTCCACAAACATACCTGATTACACACACGATGAACAGCTCACTGTTGATATACTTCCTAACTACTTCTCCAATCATTTCACGATATGTCTGCATTTGTAGCAGCTGAAAAGAAGGAACATTTTACACCTGGTCAGAGTCATTGGATGCAGGCCTCAGGTGTTATGTACATCATCTCAACTCTGAGGAAAGCGAACATTACATGGAATCACTTGTCAAAAAGTTTGAAGATGTGTTTATCAATGTTTGTTTTTTTACTAAAAATCTCTCAGTTGCTCAGTTTTAACAAACAAGCCCATCTCAACTTCATGGAAATAATCATGGACTTAAACAGATAAACTGTGTGAGGTATGCAATAATATCATGTCATGGAACAGTTAACTTTTAACCTACCATATTGAATATGTTCCAGAATGTGCCAAAACTTACCACTTTAGCTTCTACAGCAATCTATTGGTTTCAGATTTCACTTGCCTCCACAGTGATAATGCTATTGCTAGTTTATTTACCCTTGTACCATGAACCTTCATGATATTGGTTTAATTGTACTGTGGTAAGTACATTGTGACATACATTTACAAATAAATATTTACCTTGGACACTTTGGATATATTTATTTTATAATCAACCATGATATTTATTTAGTAGAAATTATTCACCAGAGCATACTCAGTTTAGGGAACTCTTTCTACAGCAGCGGGGGCATCCGTGCCCCTGGACACATTTTTTTCTTGTTTTACAGTGAATTAGAAAAACAATGTGGTGCACAAAGGTAACCTGATAGTTTGGTACACATTAAAATTGACAGTTTTAAATCAATCCAACTACAAAGCCACAAGATATACATGCATGAAGTAAAGTATACTGAGAAGATCAAAATGTCAACGTAAGCAACATTTAAAATGGCAGCCTTACAGCAATCAATATTGCATGACAGTTGGGTGGCAAGAGCAAAGTGAACGCTCAACAGGCATGTGTTTTTCACTTTTTCGCATTTTCTACAGAAAGCAAAAGCATAATAGTCGTGACGTGGGCTTGTATCACTTTCAGCAGAGACTGTTGTCGTATTCTGTCTATGTGTTTTGCACAGTGTAGGTCATCGTACTTCGTGATCGTAATTCACAATTCACAACGCGTCACAATTCCCAGCTCGGAATCTTCCCCGATGGCGAGCTGCAATGTATTATATGGTCACGTCCACTAGTCCGTGGTGATTTCTAACTGCAGCTATAACGACCATATTTCTTCATCCTGTAATTGAAATCATAACCTCTGATGATATGACCAACTATTTGATATTATTAGGGAAAGAATAATATCCCCTGGGGAAATATACCACATTGAAATAACAGAAATGTATAGGCTTCAACTTTCTGTTTCCAATTTCAAGTGACACTGGTCCCAATGTTGTTCACAGATTTTCATTGCATTGTGTTTTCTGAACTTATTATATTTGACATTTGTGTGCCTTCACTTCTAAAAATAATAAGATCTCTAAGCAGTTGATAGATTACACAGCGATAGCTTGCTACCCTCACTGGCGCTCATTATTACAATACCGCAAACACCGAAACGTCGGTCTTTTTCGTATATTGGAAATCTCCGGCAAATCAATTAATAGTAATAATGGGGGAGCGTTCAGAAAGTGACCGTGGTTTGGGGACGTAAACGGGACGGAAAAGGCAATGCGTTGTTCTCCTCCTTGTACAAATGTTTACGGTCAGCCACATCTCAGCGGGTCCCTGACGTACAAATACGTGATGCCCAAGGCTTTCCTTCTGGTGCAGAAGGTTTCATATTTCTGGCTGTTGTCGTGAGAGTTGCTGATATTTCATTTTTAGGTCATGTAATCTGTCTATGGACTTCGGAAACAGGCGGAGATCATGTTACCTGGTTTACTGAGATCACATACCTTCTGCAAAGCACAGTTAAGTAAATTGGACAATCATCTCTGCATTTCTTTATTACAACATTAAACCAAACATAATCTAAAGAAATATGATATGTTGGTTTACTTAGACTGCTTCAAAAGTTACTTCAGTTGGTGATGTGGTTGACAGAAAGCCGCTTTATTATATGTAAATTATTACTCACTCACTTTCTGTTTATGAAAATGCACGTTTAGTTGTACAGGAAATGTTACCATAAAAATACAACAATGTTTAGTCCAGGGCGTTTCCAAATCTCATTTGTCATATTCTGCAAATTCAAAATGTGTTTTTATACGCACAATGAAATAATTATTACAAATACCAATATATAAAATTACAATTCTAAAAGGCTCTTGGCTTGTTAGCATGATCTTTATCCATGTGAAGAAGCACACAAGGTATCTGTCTTCCTACGCCCTCCGAGTTACAGCCCTCGATGACCAAGATGGAATAAATAAAGGCTATTTACCCTCCATTCCTCTGCTGGTACATTTGAAAGCGGCAGTTTTTAAGTAGTGAAAGAAGGATCAATGGCACGCCCTCTGCATGCCTGGATAGGGTAAGAGTATTTCTAAAAATCGATGTCTTCGAACAAAACACGCCGGGGCATCAGTGCAAACCCACGGCATCTTAAATTTGTGTGGATCAGTTGTGCTAGGTTTCTTTGGTCATTTCAAGATACTAAACACAAAAACGTTGGCGTATATTTCAGAGCAACACATAATAACTTCGTGAGTTTCTTTCACTCAAATTGAAATGGATAAACTATTTTTCATTAAAGCTGTAAAATTTGTGATTGAATATGGCAACTTGCTATAGTGTATGTACCATCATGTTAAGTTTGATTATTTAAAATAACTTATCATCCTAAACTTGATTTTCCTGAGAAATCTGTAGAGTATTTTGTAAATCACCAAACCGCAAACGAATCTGTAAACATGAAATCGGGAATACATATGTAGATCAATGCGGAAATCTGATGTTATGACTGATGTTCAAAGATCCATTCATGTAATTTTCATCCCTTCTTTATCGTTTCCTCCCTATGGTATCTGTTCCAGAAGATGATGGAGACAGATTATTTCTCTTTCGATGGCGTTTTGAATAAAACCGGCTTATCAGAATCTAGTTAAACAAAGGAAAGGAAACTAATATGATTAAGAACAGAAGATGATCTATATGGATGTAGACAATCTATATTAATAAAGAGTAGATTTCAATATGAATAAGGCACGGGTTAGAATTGATCTTCAGTAACTCATGCATGTTAGGAGACTAAAGGGATGGGGTGGTCAGGCTCGATGACTTGGTTGACACATGTTATCGGTCCCAGATTACGCAGATCGATGCTCATGCTGTTGATCCCTGGATTGCCTGGCCCAGACTCGATTATTTACAGACCGCTGCCATATAGCTGGAATATTGCTGAGTGCGGCGTAAAACTAAACTCACCGACTCACTTAATATCAAAAGTAATAAAGTGTAGATCAATGATTATTTTCCTAATGAATATGAAAAGTTACTGAATATAGGCCTTACCGATTCATATATCGCCTCGACACTTATGAGTGAGGGTTCGAATCCCGAATCGTCCCTATAATGTTTCTAGGTTTGTCGTCTGAGGCCTGCGTCACTAGGATTTTCCTCTATATTAAGCTGAAACTTCGTGATATAACTGGAATACTGTTTAAAGCGTAGTCACTAGAAGTTGTAATATGTGTAAAAGGGTAATCATAATTATGTACATTATGTCATTATGATATCCTTGCTATTAGTTGATGCGACAATACGATTCTGTTGTGACTAGGTATGTACTGTAATCGCGGCTTAGTATCGAGCCTCAGATATGAAACCTCATCTTCTGATATCAGGCGAAAAAACTCTCTGGAATGTTATTCAAATAAACAAAGTAATTTAAATATTAATAAAATCATATTGGTCTCATGCATGGAAGATTATGTCAGAAAATGTATTATGGAAAGCTCTTAATGTACAATTGTAACTTGTGTAAGATACTGATTCTATGGAGGGGCGGTGGGGTAGCCTAGTGGTTAAAGCGTTGGCTCGTCACGCCGAAGACCCGGGTTCGAATCCCCACATGGGTACAATGTGTGAAGCCCATTTCTGGTGTCCCCCGCCGTGATGTTGCTGGAATATTGTTTAAGGCGGCGTAAAACCAAAAGTCAGTCAGTCAGTGATTCTATGGATATCTGATGAGAAAGCATTACGAAGTATTGTTACCATGGCAACATTTTCCTTTGATGAAAATGCCTTTGGAAAATAACTCGTCTCATCTTCATCCTTAATATTTAAAATAACATTTGATTACACGTGTTGAGAATGTCACGAAGTCTGCAGAACACATCAAGAGGATGACATTCATACATTTGTTACACGAGTCTTGTAGCCACGGAAAGTAAGAAGCTGGAATGCTAATTTGATATACTAGTTGAAATGTTCTGGATACATTGTTAAGTTCAGAGCGGATCAATGGTGAAGTGTACATTAAGGAGATCATGGTTAGCTTAAATTGGTGCCAGAATAGGTTGTTTCGTACGATCTTCACTCTGGACTTAAAATCCCCTAGAAAACTCTCATCCTATCGTTCTAGATCTTCTAAAGCATCCGGATCAAGACATATCAGGGGATATTCAGCAGCACAGAAAAGAGTTGTTTCTATGTCTGCATTTCAATGTTACTTTAAGAGCTAGAAGAGTTCCATGTAATCCTTAGCACTTTACAAGAGAGGGCTTAGCGTGTTCAGCTGCTGCGATAAATCGGATTATCTGCAAGGGATCTCTGCTGTATGTCCCTGGAGGACATGAGATGGTGTCCACGATCCATCATTCTACGTGTATGTGATAGCAATGTACATGTATTCGCAATAATAAATGATGGAAATGAACGTTCAGAGGATCTTGAATACGTTTTTACTTTAAATAGTGTGACCATATCACTTGTAAAGGGCAATGTACGTTTCACTTCTCTAGCTATAACAACCATCTCTAGGTAGAGACAAGCAGAACGTATTCTGAAGAACTCACATAATGTCCTGAAAATGAGTGATCTCGATGCCAAAAATCTTTGCCATCGATTCATTGTCGGAATATCCTGCTTATTCATATTTTGCACTCGGATTATTTGTGAAAAGATGAAAAGTTGATTGTTGTGCTCTGGTTCATAATGTCTATTCGTAGGGTGATTCAAATTCTGTTGTTACAAGAACACAACATTGATTATTAATCGCCAACAAGCTGAATTCTACTGTGCATGAAAGACGACCCTGGTTGAAGGAACCATCAGTGTGTTTTTGTCGTGAAAAGGTTGCCAAGAAATGATGCACTCCATGGAAACCCCACGACATATTGATGAGGATTGGGTATTATCCGAGTTATGTGATTAAAAGCAGGTGGTTGCAGGATTTGTCGACTGATCAATTAAATAACATTTAACTTATGAACCAGTATTCATTTCTGCCAGGCTATCTTAGCACTGCGATACAATATCAATTATGACAACAATGAGGTACTGGCCCAGGACTTAACTACACCCATGAATATATGTTGTGAGAAAGATCTTTATGACTTTTTTTATATAAACCTTTCATTTTCTCTTTAAGCACGACGACCGCACGGACGTAAACATTATACAGTGCTAGGTAAGTACTGGTCACATAGGTAGGTACATGAAATCACCCTCACTCGTTACATGATAGAATTCTCTCCTAGATAAACATTGATGTTGATCATCAATGACATTTTTTTCAAATGTTGTATTCTGTTTT